TTTTTGAATGCTTGAATTCATATATTTTATTTTATTGTATTTTTATAAACTTAGTATTCACCTTCTAATTCGTACCCTATTCATCGAATCCACCTTAGCTTATATTGAATTACATCTGTATATTCCACATTACATATTGTGTAGCATATGGGAGTAGAAATTAGTGTGTGCGTTCTTGGGGTGAGGTTTGTGCGTTATACTGTAATACACAAACGCACACGCCGGCGTGAACAAACCCATTATAATACTAATGCCCATGATGCACACTCCGTCGTAAACAAACGCACACACCAGAATTCATGCACTAACCAAATAACACTCATACTGTCTAATTCATACAAAATGAGCACACAATTTCATTCCACGCACATCCATTATAATAATATTTTCGGCTCCACGATGAATGTCACACTGCATCATAAGCTGAAAGTGTGGTAAAATTATCTTTTTGATAAGCTGATAAATGTAAAAAAAAGAAAAAAACATTTTCATAAAATTTAAATTAGTTTGTTAACATATAAGAATGTAACATTTTGTCTTTTTTTAAAAAAAAAATAACATTTTGAAATAAAATTATTAGCATAATCATGATCTAATATTATTGTAAATCTCTTTCATCTCATAATAATAATAATAATAATAATAATAATAATAATAATAATGATAGTATGCAAAACATTTTAAAGGAGCAATTAACTTTGCATGATAGTTTGTTGTGTGATGGAGAGTTTTTCCACATTCATTGTTCAGCTCATATATTAAATCTCATTGTACAAGAGGGGTTGAAAGTGGTTAATTCAGCTTTGCATAAAATTAGAGAGTCTGTCAAATATGTGAAAGGTTCTGACGGTAGGATGAAGAAGTTTGATGAATGTATAAGTGCAGTTGGTAACATTGATACTAGTATTGGTTTGAGATTGGATATGGTTACTAGGTGGAACTCCACATATTTGATGTTGGAAAGTGCTATTAAGTACAAAAGGGCATTTGCTTCTCTTCAATTGAATGATGGACATTATAAATTTTGCCCTTCAAATGAAGAATGGAAAAGAGGTGAGAAAATATGTGAGTTTCTTGAGCCATTTTATGAGGTGACAAATTTGATTTCCGGTTCTTCCTATCCTACCTCAAATCTATATTTTATGCAAGTTTGGAAGATTGAAAGTATGTTGAAAGAAAACTTGGATAATGAAGATGTCTTGATAAGTGGAATGTGTAAAAAGATGTTTGAGAAATTTGATAAATATTGGAGTGAATATAGCCTAGTGCTTGCATTTGGAGCTATTTTTGATCCAAGGATAAATCTTGTAACATTGGAGCATTTATATGGGGAGGTTCAGAGTGATCCAACTAAACTTAAAGAAATGATTTCACTTTTGAAGACAAAGTTGAACAAGCTTTTTAGTGCTTATGCGGATATTATTACTCCACCTCTTTCCCAACCGCGATTTTCTCAAGTCACATTTTCAAGTATGCAAAGTGAAAGCTTAGGTAAAAGTCAAAGAAAAAGAGCATTTGAAGTAAGTATTTTAAGTTCTAAGTTTCTAACACTTCAATTTATATATATTTTCTATATTTGCAATTGTGATTGTGATAACATGTTTAATGTTTTAAATTTTAATTTCTAAGTTTTAACGAATGTAGGCAATTAAAAAGTATGATAGTCAAACTGTTAAGACTGTTGGAAAGTCAGAATTGGAAATTTATTTGGAGGAGCCGAAACTTGAATATGCATACTATGAGGATTTGAATATCTTGGATTATTGGAAAGAACGGATGCATAGATATCCTGCACTTGCATTGATGGCACGAGATGTTTTGGCTATCCCAATTACTACTGTTGCATCGGAGTCGGCATTCTCTATTGGTGCTCGTGTGCTCACCAAGTATAGGAGTTGTACTTTGCCTGAAAAAGTGCAAGCACTTATTTGCACTAGAAATTGGTTGCATGGCTATGCTATTGGAAACTTATATTTTATTATATTTTAGGTAGTTGATATTTTGGTGTATTGTAATTTAATTTTTAACTCTCTAATCTCTATTATGTTGAATTTTTATGTAGATACTGAAGAAAGTTCAAGTTCAACATCAAATTTGTCCTTTGAAGATTCAAATGTTGTAAATCTTGGTGATGAAAATGATGAAAATGAGATGAAGAAGATGTGAATGTTGGAATGTTTGAATGATGTAATTGAGTAATTGACTTATGAACTTATGTAGTTAAGTAGTTATGTTTTGTACTTTTGTGGAGTTTGAACTTTGAATTGTTGGTTCATGAACTATTCTAGTATGGTGTATAAGTATTGACTATTTGGACTCTATGAATCCTATGATGTTATTAACTTATTGTTGTATGTGATGAATTAATTTGTGTTATTTACTTTATTACTTATGAATTATGATTTATGAATAAGTGTTTTAAGTAGTAAAGTAGATAACAATTAAGTTATAAAATAATAACATAGTCAGTAGTCACATTAGAGTTTAGATTTTAGGGACATAAAAAAAAAAAAAAAAAAAAAAAAAGGGGGCTGTAGCGGGGCGGGCTGCCCCCACCTAGGCCCATTTTCTTGGCGGGCTTTGGTGGGCCCTGCCCCGCCAGCCTGCATTTACAGCTCTAATCAAAACCCTCGTAATGCACGTCATGCCAACGCCAACTAAAAAAATGCACACACCGTCCGTCCACCAACTACACACATGTTCGTGCAATCTTCTTTCTTCCAAAAGGTTGAACCCCAACCCTAAAAAAACACACACAAAACCCCCCAAATGATATTAGATCCAATGAGACCCCTATTAAGGTGAAATGGTGAGACTATATCTGGGTTGTTTATTTGTAGGTTTCAACGTTCCAGATTCCTTCCGTCATAAACAAACGCACATACCACATTTCATGCACTAACCACAAAAACAGTCATACCGTCTAATTCATTCAAAATGAACATACAAATTACTTTCACGCACACGCTGTAGGACCTAGATACACAGACCAATGTACAAAGTTAATTACATGCTTAAGTCAGCAACTCTCACACCTGCGCTACTCGTCATCTTCAACCTCTGAAAATTCGTCCCAATCACAAATCAAAAGCTCACGGTTAAACTCCTACAGGTATTGTGTAGAATTGACTACAACTTATTTCCATAATATTTGTAATCTTTGATTATGGCAAAGATTCCAATCTAATTCTAACCAAAATTAACACATTAATACAATTACTTTTAAACCCCCTATTTAAAATATGCCCTTATTTACATTATATTCATCATTCAATCTCATCCATCCATTACAAATTTATAAATGGATGGGATCTCATCTCACCATCTCATTTAATAAGGGGGTCTATATATATATATATATATATATATATATATATATATATATATATATATATGTATATATATATATATCTTATCTTAACTATAATAAAGCTATATGGTTTGAAAAAATAATTAATGTTACAATTAATGCCACAACATCCTTTATTAAAAAAAAAAAAAAAAAAAAAAAAAAAAAAAAAAAAAAAAAAACAACATTTAAAAAATAAAATAGCTATATATTATATAATCATATAAAAAAATGTGTTCAATTAGAGTTTAAATTTACTCATACAAAATTTGAAATTTGCTTTCCAAATGTAATTATCTTAGTTATTATTCGTATTGTGAAAATTATAATATAGATGAAATACAATTAAGAATAAATCAATGTAATTATGTAAATTCTCTCTATAAGTTTATTTGAATATGCACATAATTAGAGATTATATTAACCATACAAAATTTTAATTTTAATTTTAATAATTGTAATTTTGTATTCTATAAAAATAATAAATAATTGACCAATGGAAGCTCAAAAATATTATTATATTAAATAATTTAAAATATTTTAGTTTTTCTATTTTTTATTTATATTTATAATAACATAATTTTTTTCCGTGCATCGCGCGGGTGAATTACTAGTATATATATATATATATATATATATATATATATATATATATATATATATATATATATGTGTGTGTGTGTGTGTGTGTGTGTTAAAATACCTTAATTTTTGCAAAGTCATAAAAACAACATGGATAAAAATAGATGGTTTATGCAAACAAAAGATGGAACATCATGGTCAATGAAAATCTTCTGAGAATAATTATATATTTCTTCAACAAAGTGGAGAAGAAAAATCACTAAGGCATAACAACTTACACTTTGCGGACCAAATTATCCTTTCTCTGGTAGGAAATTATGATTTGAAGTTGAAGCTTCAGCATATTACGTATGAATCATCAATATTTTCTACATTAATTAACCATAAATTAATTTATTAACTAAAATAGTTTTAAAAAAAAAAAACAATTCTTACTTGACATTAACATTCTAAGCAAAAAAAAAAAAAAATCTGTTTAACGTAAGGCTCTCACTTTGTTTGTTATACCGTACCATAGAATAGGGTTCGCGGTGAATTCTAAATCTTGGTTCAAAACCACATTTGAATTATACATTTGCAGTTAACATAATATGTATTTTGAATTTATTTATAGGCACATGATTTTAGATTCATGATAATAGCTCCAAAAACGCCAACAAACCCCTTGAGAGTTGGTTGAATGAAAGGTTAAGGAACTTCAAAGAACCCAAACTCCAAATATCATAAGGCAGACCAGTGAAATTATTGTTACTTATATCCAACATCTCAAGCATTGTGAGTTTGGCAATTTTCTGGGAAAGGTATAGGAAGGACCAAAAGTGTCCACAATTTAATTGTAGAGTGTTTTAAGGCAAACATGATAATAGTCTGAGACTAAATATGAAATTGACAGGTAAAAGACAAGGGCCCCGGATGGAATTAACACTAATATTTTTTACTTGTTTTATATATCATATCGTATTACTCCTTGAGTAATAGTTGTATGCTTTTGCATATAACATCTACAATTTACAAACCTGAACCCATTATATATCTTCACAAAACAAACAAGCATAGAGATTTCATAAGCAAAGCCAAGCCAAACCTAGCCTAGCGACCTGTGAACTCAGAAAACGTAGCAGTGGCATTGGAAGCGGAAGATGCTGTAGTTGTTGATGTGTCTACAGGTACCCTCTTCTCGAAATCAATGATGGTTGGCCTGCTTGGGGGCTTCTGCATGATTGAGCCGTCACTTGAAAGCATGACCACCACTTCTGACATGCTCGGCCTTAGATTCGATGGTGATTGGGTGCACTTCAATGCAATCTCCAGTATTCTCTTCACCTCTTCTGGTTTATACTCGTTGGGGTCTAAACTCTCATCCACCAGTTCTAGATGTTCATTATTCTCGTACAGTTTCCAGGCCTGTATAAAACAACAATGCAGAATTGAAGCCAAATAATGTCAATGTAAGACTGATCTGATCAAAATGAACCTCTTCAGACGACTATGTTGTGAAACAAGAAATTAAAGAAATTACCTGTTCAAGGAGATACTCAGTTACAGGCTCGAGTTGTATGTCGCTGCTCCTTCGTCCACTAACAATCTCCATGGCTACAATGCCAAAACTGTAGGTGTCAACTTTCTCTGACAAATGACCACCGATTGCATATTCTGGCGCTGTATATCCCCTGTTGCAACACAAAATAGTTCTCATTAATTAAAAAGATGTTCCAATTCAAAAAATTGTGAAAATGAATAGGCCGGGTTCTTAGGCTTACAAAGTTCCTGCAAATTTAGTACTAAGATGGCTCTGATTCTCAGGTAAAAGTCTTGCCAAACCAAAATCAGCTATTTTGGGTTGAAAGTCATCATCGAGTAGTATATTACTGGATTTAATGTCTCTGTGTATGATGCATACATGGAACTGATCATGCAGATAGGCAAGACCCCTAGCTATACCAAATATTATATCAAATCTTTGCTTCCAATTCAGCATCCCTCGTTTTTCTCCTGCCAATCATGAAAAATTATATCCATTCTGATGGGAGTCTTGATCTTTATGCAAAAATAAATAAATAAAATGGAGCACCATATATGTATTTGTCAAGGCTGCCATTTGCCATGTATTCATAAACCAGTAGCAGCTCTTCTCCTTTGGCAGAACATCCCAATAGACGAATGAGATTGCGATGATGGACATTTGTAATAAGCCTAACTTCACTCTCAAAGTCTGCCTTTGCTCTACTGGAAATCGTTGCCAGTTTCTTCACCGCGACCACATCCCCATTCTTTAGCGTGCCCTGTATGTTTAGTCATGTGAAATTTCTGCTATAACAAATAGTAAGATGAGCAGGAAATAGTGAAATTGATGACTTCTTTTTAGTATCTCACTTTATATACATCACCAAAACCTCCTTCTCCCAGTTTAGTTTCATCACTGAAATCTTTTGTTGCAGCTTTCAAATCTTTATATCTGTAAGGCTCTGGCCCTCTCAGCTCAGTTGCCCCCAAAATATTGGCTGTGGAAAAATGCAGTCCATAGGTTAATTACCCATCTAGACCATAAAAGTTTTAACAAAACAGGGAAATATATCTGTATATCATCTAAATCAGCTTCACCTCTTTTAACTGCCTTTGGCTTCCTTGATCGTTGATACAAAAGGAAAATGGCTCCTAATACCAAAATAAGTCCTACACCTCCAACTACACCCCCAATAATAGCTTTCTTCTTCCCTGATGATGAACTCCCTGGAGAAGAAGTCACCAAATAGGTCATGTTTCCAACAGTAAAACAACTATTTTAAACTAATAGAATCTGCATGGTAAAATTACTAGGCATAAAGAATAAAATCTGGGTAACCTCAGTCAAGATAACTAAGGATACAATTCAAATTTGTAACTACAATGTCACCAGTTCGAATCCCCACCCTCTTGGTTTGAGCTGGTCAGCTATGAGCAACTTAGACTGGTTCATTTACCAGCTAAGATCACATGACAGGGTTTATCCCGTCCACATCCTCGTGTAGTGACTGCGGGTTTCCTAAGGTTTGTTGTGTAAAAGGTTTAGGCAAAAAGTGTGTTCTTATACCTCCACCTAGGAAGGGTGTTATGTCAGTTGTCTGGTTATCAGCAAAAAAAGCAGTGTCTGAGTATCTCAAGAAACACCCAGCATCAATTGCTCTTCCATCTGCAAATTTAGGCAAACAACCCTGAATGTTCTTGTAAGCTACTGCCAAACAATCCTGACAGCCGCTTTCACTGACGGTTTCAGCGCATTGCGCCACCGCATAGGTGGTGGCACCACCACGAGATTCCTCCTTTTTTGCGGCGGCGTAGAAGCCATTAATTCTGGGCGTGGCTAGTAGAAGCTCATTTAGTAGTTGGTCTACTGATGCGTTGAAAGCATGTTGTTGGCGGGCAGTTCGGTTGCCGCAAATTTCTACGTTTCCTGGTAGGGTAGTCTGGTCATAGAAGTTATTGCTCTCGTACCTGTACAAAAAACAAACGGCTCTAGACATTAAAGAAAACGAAGACTCTAACTATACTTCTCATCAATGCCTTCTCGAATGTTAGACTTGTTGTTAATTTTTTCTTAAAATATTGTTCTTGATGAGTAGTACGTGTGGTTCCAACTAACAGTGGTTAGTACTTAGTACCCCATGTTTTATTTTTATTATATATTATATTATATATACAGTAGACTTTTTGTTTTTTATTTGATAATAATTGAATATACTTAAGCTTTACCTAATCATGTCCGCTAGCACTGGCCGGCCGGCCGGCCAACTATTTATTAAAACAGTTAGATCAATCCATGTTTACAGCACACAGAATATCTGTGCACCCTAATAAGTTTATCAAACTGTTAACTTGTAATTATAATAATGTTATAAATTGAACACTCAATCTATTAGAATAGTCAATTAGCCTTTTTAATTTGATTCTGTCAGGTAAGAGCAACCTAAGCTGCTTTTAAGTGCACACTCTTTGAATAGTTATTGCTACTTCTCTTTTTCTTCTTCTTCTTCTTTTTTTTTTTTTTTTTTTTTTTTTTAGCAAAATGACAATTTTAATACACATGTTTAATTATTATCAATTTTCATTGACGATTATTATTTTTGTACCAAAATTAATCGTGTCGATCACCCTCAGCTCTAGCTAAAATATGTTTAAATGTGCAATTTGTAAGGGTATTTTTGTCTATTTATACATTAGTAGAATTGACATATTATACATGTATGGACAAAAGTACCCTTACAAATTACATAATCTGGCATGTTTTAGCCAGAGTAATCGGTGTGATCAATTTTGACATATGAAAATAATAGTAGTAGATGAAAATGGATAGTAATTAAACATGTGAACTAAAATTGTAAGTTATTTTGCTAATAGTGGTGGATCGAATTTGATATTTGCTCTTTAAAATGGATAGTAATTAAACATGTGAAGTCACCTGAGGAAGCAGCCGTCAAATATGACACGACCACCGTTGGCGGCGTTGCAGCTTCGGATGGCCGACACCGCGGCGTCGTAACAGGCGACGCAGTCCGCAGTGGAGAGGTAGTTTCTGCACTGTACCATTACGTAGGCAGGCTGCTGAGTGGTGGCGAAGCGTTTGTTGCCGCCGGCGGCGGATAACTGGCTTCTGAGATCAGCAAAGCTGGCGTTGAGTCGCCTGAAAAAACCTGGTACATCGGTAACATTGTACTGGCTGCAACCCTTGTTTAGTTGGGTGGTTTGTGGGTCGGAAAACGCCGGTTCTGATACTGACACCACCAAGATCACCACCGCCAACCACCACCAGTCTGAGCCTACCATTGGTTTCATTTATGAGTTATGACCAGTATGGGCACAAGGAGGAGAAATGAATTAAGATAAAATAGGCTTTTAAAGAAAAGGTTTATATATATATATCACCAAAATATCTGTACACACCATTACCGCCTTAGGTGAGTTGCTGGTCAACAATTCTACACTAAAATATATTTATTGGTCATATGATATAATGAAAAAAAAAAATGATATTTTTTCTGCTGAATAAAAGTAAATTGACGTAAGGGATGATTGAGAAACAGTAATTAATTGGCAATCATATATAGGAAGGGATCGGAAATTGCACTTTTGGTCCCTCAATTAGTGCTCCTTATGTAATGTGATTCTTATTTCTCAATTTGAACAGAATTGGTCCCTCAATTATTCCACCGTTAGTCAATTTAGTCCTTCTGTTAGTTAATCCATTTAACACCGATCACATAATGACTAAATTAACTAACGCACTTCTGGAAATTATGAAATTTCCGACCACCTGAAAGTGATCTTAAATCAAGTCGAAAGCAAAAAGTGGCTGAAAATAGCAACAAAAGTTTTTCCGGACACCAAAAGTAATCAGAACAAGGCTTTCGACTTGATTTAAGATCACTTTCAGGTGGTCGGAAATTTCATAATTTCCAACAGTGACAGTGGAATAATTGAGGGATTAATTCTGTCCAAATTGGGAAACAAGGATCACATTGCATATGAGGCACTAACTGAAGGACCAAAAGTATGATTTCCCCTAAATAAAATTTACATTAGTTATATATATAATTTGAGAAAATCGTACTTTTGGTCTCTCAATTAGTGCCCCATATGTAATGTGATCTTCACTTCTCAATTTGGACAGAATTGGTCCCTCAATTATTTAATCGTTAGTCAATTTAGTCCTTCTGTTAGTTAATCTGTTTAACACCGTTCACAAAAGGACTAAATTGACTAACAGTGGAATAATTGAGGGACTAATTCTGTTCAAATTGAGAAATGAGGATCACATTACATATGGGGCACTAATTGGGCGACTAAAAGTGTGATTTCCCCTATATAGTAACATTATCCTAACTTTATACACAAATACTTTTTGACGAATGGTAGAAAGCCTTGAATTTGGTCGAGTGAGGAACTGGGCATGTGTTAGCAAATAAATACCCAATCGTTCCTCATAATGCAAGAGCATGTTCATTGCATTATCTCATGCATGTTCATTGAATCTCATCCTTCTTAATAATTGAACGCATGGACAATGTGCAAAAGGTCATGGTCGGTGAGATGCACTAGTTTTCCTTTTTCTTGATAGTTTGGTAATTCAACCAAGACAAGGTGCAAAAGGTCATGGTCGATGAGATGCACTAGTTTTCCTTTTTCTTGATAGTTTGGTAATTCAACCATGTGTCTTGTAGTTTGATGACATCACTGTTACTATTCCAAATGAAAGGTCACAGGTTTGAGTTCTATCCCAGTTCAAGGGTTGGCCTATTAACTAAAACGTTGGTAGATTAGCTTAAACGGGTGCGTAGAGCATAAAGGCAAGGGTGAGAACCACTACTGGAAATTATAAAATTTCCGACCACCTGAAAGTGATCTTAAATCAAGTTGAAACCAAAAAGTGGTCGGAAATAGCAACAAAGGTTTTTTCGGATACCAAAAGTGATCGGAACAAAGCTTTTGACTTGATTTAAGATCACTTTCAGATGGTCGGAAATTTCATGATTTCCAGTAGTGAACTTAGGGAGTTGGTAGATTAGCTGAAACGGGTGCGTAGAGCATAAAAGCAAGGGTGAGAACCTAGGGAGTGGGGACACCGGGCGACTTCCTCCAAAGTTAATTTAATGTGTAAAAAAATAAAAAAGTAGCTATAGTTTAAAGTTTTGACAGTTAGAAAGAAATGAAGAAGAAAATAGTTGCTAACTACCATGTAGCAGGGCCGTCCCTGGGCATGTTTGCCCAGGGCTGGCGCACGGCGCACAGGGCCCCTAATTTTTTGGCGGTCCCATATTTTTTTAAAAAAAATTTTTTATATGTATATAAGCCGCATTAAGCAAATCTCATGCATTAGTCATTGTGTAGTACGGTAGAAAAATTAGCAAAGCTCAGTAGTCATTATGTAGTACTGTAGCAAAATTAGCAAATCTCATTCCTTCTGCCAACCCTATTAGTACCATCGGCCATAGCTAATGATAAACCAAATAATTCGCTTTTATTTAACATATATGATCAAAGAAATTGAGATGTCCTTGATTCTAAATTAATAGATATTTGTGTGAAAGATGGTCCTAAAATAGATTTATCAATAAATAAAGATCCTAAAGATAAATTCTCAACAAGATTTCAGTCAGCGTTTTACACAAGATATTTGCCAAATAGAGAGAAGTGTGATCGAGATTGGCTTGTATATTCATTATTCAAAAGAACTTGACAAGGTGTTTTGTTTTTGTTGCAAGATTTTTATAAAAGGTATAGAAAAATGTGATTTGGTCAATGAAGGTTTTAGGGACTAGACACATCTTGGTGTTAGACTTAAAGAGCATGAAACCGAGTGTATATCATATGACTAAATGTGCACAACGCATGTCACTTTTTAAAATGACATTTTAGATGTATTTTTTATACAATATTTATATTTTGAATTTTTGACACAACTATTATTTTTATATACAAATTACTTTAAAAAAAAAAGGGCCCAATTTAAAATATTGCACAGGACCCCAATTTTTATTGGAACGGCCCTGCCATGTAGTGTATGGCATCCGGTTACTATTTCAAATGGGTGTTTATAAGTTGGAACCCCGGTGGTGTGGTTTAGATTTTTTGAACTAAAATATTTGAGAAAGTATATTGTTAGATAATAAATTTAGTCTAACATGAATTGTAGTAAACGAGTAACCTGCCTCGTTACAGCGGAAGCTTTAGGATCGCCCGGATATCCCCAGCCATAGTCGTTCGAGATGGTAAACCTGCAGAAAGGTTAGTGTCGTTTTGTCTACCACTTCTCTCCCGAATACGTGATGGTGCGTGTCCTGAACTCGGGAGCTGTGGGAGGACTGTTTTGCTTAGAAGCCTACATGCCATCAACATAGGCAGATATTTAGTTAAAGCTTAACTGAATATCCTGAGTTGCATAACAGATTAAGTCACTAATTGACTCAATCTCCTACTTGCACCACAGCCACCCAATAATACAATATATTATAATATATTGTATTTAGGGAAAATACTTACATATATAACATATACTACCTTGTAAAGAATGATGATCATTTAAAAGAAAAAAAAAATAGGTAATAGGTTATCGAGGCATTTATTTTTAGAGCTGAGATTCATTCAATTTTTCCAGTATTTACTCAAGTGGATTTTAAGATAATGTGATGTTAATAAAAACCAGAAAGGGATGGATAACAATTAACAATGACGGCGCTCAGCCCACGGGAGGGGGCTAAACTAGAAGAGTTGACTATTACAATTAGGTGTTGCTATTTGCACCACCCTTTGACCAAAAGTGAGTATAAAGTATCTTGAAATTGTAAAAAGGTAAAAACTTTTAATAATTACATAGGTAGTGTAAATAGTCAAATGAGAGTTCATTTTGCTATTTGCACCGGGAAATTCTATTTGCACCACCCATTTTACTATTTGCACCCCCTATTTAATAGGTGTAATAGCTTTATAGGTGGTGTAAATAAAAAAGTGTTATTTGCACCACCTCATTAAATGTACTCAAACATTAATCTTTATTTCTTTTTTTATTTAATAATCAATCTCTTATTATTATTATTATTATTATTATTATTATTATTATTATTATTATTATTATTATGTTTTAATGCCTAATTATTTTGTGCAATATTTTTTTAAGTTTTTATTTTCAATACATATATTTTTTTTAAGTTTATATTTTCAATACATCTTTTTTTGTTCAATACATGTTTTTTTAAGTTTATATTTTCAATACTTATTTTTGTTTATGTTTTAATTTTAAATAAAGAGAAATAATAATTAATTTTGTTATTCTAATATTTTTTTTTATAACTCAAATTTGTTGTATGCATTATTTTAAATTGATTTAACTATAAATTGAAATATAAAATGATTACTAGTGATATTTGAAACGAATAAATATACATTGATTTTCTACCTATCTTTTTATATTGTAAATACTGTAACAATTTTATAAAGATATATGTGGGTTAGAGTTCTAATAATTTTAATGTAGTTAAAATTCTATAAAGATATGTGGGTTAGAGTTCTATTGAGACTTTGAAATATAAATTGATTTTCTACTTATCTTTTTATACGGTAAATACTGTAACAATTTTATTATAAAGATATGTGGGTTAGAGTTCTAACAGTTTTGATGTAGTTAAAATTCTAATCATAAAATAAGTGGAGGTCAAGGCTTCTAATCATAAAATAAGTCTGCATGCGTTCCTACACTCTTTCTATTTTGAATTTTGTATTTATGATTGTCCTTCAAGTCTCTGTAGAATAGTTTCCTACAATTGTGTATTCTTTGTAGTATATATTGCTCTATGTACTCAATATTACTCAATAAATTGATTTTCTACTTATCTTTTTATACTGTAAATACAATAAATTGATTAATTTACAACTATATTCACAACAAATTAAATTAATTCAGTATATAGATAGACTCACCGGTCACCCAATAAATAAAATCTCAAATTCAGTACTCTTTATACTATAATTTTCTCTCTTAAAATGGAACAAAGAGTTTGTTATTTAGTCAATTGAGAAATTATATCTAATTTAAATGAGTCCTAATTACCTATACTAGCAAGCAAGAACAAAGTGGCTTAAAATACAAATAGCAACACCCATAGAAATAAATAACAATTCAATTCTACCTATCTTATTATACTGTAAATACAATAAATTGCTTAATCTACAACTATATTCACAACAAATTAAATTAATTTACAACTGTATTCACTAAATTGATTAATACTATAATTTTCTCTCTTGACATGGAACAAAGAGATTGTTATTTAGTCAATTGAGAAATTATATCTAA